AATCAGAGAAAGATCATAAGCAGAAATGTGTGTACAACCAAGTCTCCCTTAGACCTAAATGATGTCCCTGAAGCATTTTTCAAACTTGAATAATCATTGTCCTGAGTCCATCCACTTATAAAGATTTATAATGTTATGCCACAATGAATATTTAAAACAACTCCTAGGTTTAGAATTACTACAGCAACTTTATGAATGTCACAAGAGGAAAAGTGTCATGGCAATAATAGATGTCACAAAAGGACAGTCTGGGCTAAGATGAAGACAATGTCTTGCCCTAACAAGAAAGCCAGTTAATATGAAATGAACCATGAAATGGAATGACCAAGTAGAAAATACACTGCCAAATCGTCAGATGCTGAATAAACAGTGTCAATGAATTATCTGAATTAAGAAAGGCTAAAAGGTTCTTGATGTTTTATCTTCAAAATATTTTAAAATAACACCCATTTAACAATTTATGAACAGTCTCTTTAAAAAGTCTACCATTTAAGAATAACCCGATTTTCCACAACATGGAAGGAAGTCCAATACTAATTGAAACAAAACTGCCAGGGGAAAAAAAAAAGTCTTAAAATGCAACTATGTCACTGAAAGGTACAGGACAGTTGTACTGAATTTTCTTAAGTGACATTAGGGACAATGAAACAGTGACTGAGTCTAATTCTACACTGCTACAAAGTGAGTGGAGTTGTCAATAATAATCAGGATCATTTCATTAAAATAATCCTCCTTGGAATTATCAGGCATTTAATAATCAGAGCAGAAATATTTTTCCTCTTCCAGGATTCTTAATGAAAGATAAAATCAGGAGTAAAAAGATGTAAACTCAACAAGCCAGAAGTGACACCTGTGTGACCACAAATTAAGAGTTAGTTTTATTCTGTGTGATTGCAAATTAAAGTTACTATTGCCCACAGCCGGGGGGGATTGAGAAACAACTTCAACCAACAGTTGGAAACAAATTACACGTGCTAACAGTTACACTCATTAGGAAATCCAGAATACTCTCAAAGAGAGTTATTTAGATGTTGCATTCATTTAAACGCAGGCGACGAACATCTCAGCCGCCTTCCTTTGCAGGATTCTGTGCCAAGCCCTTCCGAAGCTGGGGTTGATAAGGTCGACTCCAAGAAGAAAAGCAGCTCAAGTGGGAAATGGTATCCTCATATGGCCCAGAGAACCGGTGACGCACTAGGTGCTTGGAAAATATCCCATCGTTTACCTTGCTAGAAGCAGCTGGGGAGGGAAGAGGTCGTCCACGTGCACTATTGTTTTCCAGATATGTTTATTTATTTTTAACTTCTGCTTTGGTATCAATACCCTCAACCTCAGCCTAACGAGGCGAGGGGGGATGGCAGCGCCACTGGTGGTATTTGGGTGCAACACAAGTTTAAAAAATGAAAACACAACCTTTTTTTTTTTTTTTAAATTGCAGATGTAAACTCGTGGCCCCTCACCTCTCTTCCTCCTCCCACACCCTTGCCATCACCCCACGCAGCTCTCCGCGCCGCCACCTCGGTCCCATGACAACCCCACCGAGGCGGGCCCCCTCCGCGCCTCCCGGCCCCTGCCAGCGCTTGCTGGGGGGGGGACTCCATGCCTCGGGCTCTCACTCTCCCCGCTTCTGAGAGGCGGACCAGGACCCTCCAGGCGCGGCGGGCCCAGTCCGGTGCAGGCCACGACCCTCACCAGTTCGGCGTGTGGAAGGGCGGCCAGGCACGGAGCTGAGAGGTTCCACCTCCAAAGCCAAAACCCAAACACAGTGACGCGGGGCCGGGGGCCAAATGGGTAACGGCGGCCCCGCGCCCCTCTCTGGGCTGCCAAGGGAGCCGAGGGCGGCGGGGCAGTGGCGAGAAAGGAAACTCGTCCGTTTTCCACAACAACGAACGCGTCGCGGCGGCAGGAGATCCGCCGAAGTTTGGGGGTTGTTAGATCCGGGTCGGCAAACGGGTTATGTCGAATCGATCTCTTGGTTGGCGTCACCGCAGGGGGGGCAGAGCACACGATGCGACCGGGCCGCCGCCGCCCCTGCGCGCTACGTCGCCGCCGCGAGCAGATCCGGGTTCTCAGCTCCGCCCGCCACCCATGCCGGCCGCGTCGCAGCATGCCCCGCGCCTTGCGCGGGGCGGGCTCCGCGAGAGAGCGCCGCTCGCCGCTCTTTTCCGCCCGGGTCCCCTCGCGCGCCGCTTCGCAGCTCCGGGGTTGGCGGCCGTGGGCGCAGCTGGGGGTTGGGGGTGCGTGCAGGGATGAAAGGTGGGAGCCCGCGGATTCTCGGAGAGTATGGGACGCTTCCCCTCCGCTCTCAGCCGGAGGCCGGCTGCGTCCGGCCTGCTCGGTCTTCTGAAGACCAATTTCAATCAGCTCCGGGGCAGCGTGACTTAGGGCCTGGGTCCTCTTCGTCGCGAAGGCGCACACTCTGCCACGTGGGGAGCAGCCCGAGTCCGCAGGCCGCGCACCGGGAGCAGTGCCGTTAAGACCATCGGACGCAGGGCCACTGGATGGCCACTGCACCGCCCCGCCACTCCCTTCCGGCGGGCGCGACGCGGCCGCTTGCTACGGGTTTTTGAGCACTCGTGACCCCACACCTAGAGAATCCCGGCCTCCCCATCCTTTCCGGTCTCTCTGACTCTAAGTTGCTGCTAAATCAGGGAGCAGCCCTTGGGCGCTGCCCGGTCCCAGCTTGATCCAGGGAGTGGGGGGTGGATTCAGTCCGAAGGGCGCGGCCCTGGTGCCCATCCGTCCGGAATCTGCAAAATGGCTACTCTTTGATTATGGGAGAGGGATGGTAAGAGGCAGAGATCAAGGCGCTCGAGTAATTAACTCTAGATTTGGGGATATGACATTTTTGGATTTTCCTAGTCTTTTCCAACACAAGGCGAGAGATCAAGATGTGTTAAGAAATCTTTTGTAACGGCGCGGGCCCGGGGCTGACGCCTGTAATCCCAGCACTTTGGGAGGCCGGGAGGCGGGCGGATCCACAAGGTCAGGAGTTCGAGAACAGCCTGGCCAAATATGATGAAACCCGTCTCTACTACAAAATACAAAAATTAATCCGGGGGTGGTGGACGCCTGTAGTCCCAGTACTCATGGTTGAGGCAGGCAGAATCGCTTGAACCCGGAGGCGGGAGTTGTTAGTGAGCGAGAATTCGGGCCATGCATTCCAGCCTGGGAACAGAGCGAGTCCGTCTCAACAAAAAAAAAAAAAAAAAATCAGTACCATTCCTTCCCCCGACCCCGCCCCACCACCAAACTTATTGAAAGAGCATCGCTTTCCTCACTTTTCCTTCTGCCCTAACAGAAAAGCACTTAGATGAAGCTACAGGAAGCCAGAATTCTTTTGACTTGGTGGGTACCGGAGGGTTGGAAGAATCTAGATTGAGTATTCCTTGGCCTTTGGGGAACTTGCTCTATGCAAAGTCACCTAGGAGATGATACTTCCCCCACTGTGAAAGACTAGCTAGAGATGACAGACAAAAAGCACATTTGTTGTAATCTCCCTTTGACGGGATCTAGGTTGGAATAGATGTCGAAGCAGCTGCTTCTAGGTAGTCAACGAAGATGTCAACTAGTAAATGACAACAGACAAGGATGATCACAGCAGAGTTGTAAGATTCTAGATATCAAAAAGTGCAAGCAGTCTATTGTACTCACCATCGCATCCTCAGCAGCTGCCCAGTGCCCGGTTTTAACTTGCTGCTCAGTGTATGTGTCAGGTTTTAATCCCAATTCTGATACTACCTGTGCTATTCTTTTCACCTCTCTGAGTCTGTAAAGGATTATTTAAGAATTAACATAAACAAGATACAGAAAAGTGTCCTGCATATATACGTAGTGCCTAAGAAATATTGGTTGAATGTCAAAAGTGGCAAGGAGGCTCAGTATGTTCTTACACGCTTTGCCTCTTTTCTCCCAAGCAAGGATGTCCTTGCCCAGCTCATCTGCTCCTCTCACCACTTTTGCCCTCACTCCCTCCACCTGTCCTCCAAATGACTCAAAATAATCAGCACTATTTATTATGCATCTACTATGTTCCAAGACAATGAGGATCAACTGAGCCTGCATTGCAGAATGGAAATTTCCAACTATGTTGTGTTTACAGCTAATGATATTTGCACCTAACGCAAAGGTTTGCAGACTTTACTGTTATAGAATAATTTGGAATACCTGTTGAAGATGCAGACATCCACCTCACCATACCTCCCAAGATTCCGCTTGAAAGGATCTGAGAGAGGGGCTCTGGATCTGCATTTTTTTATTTTTTACATCTCTATACATTATTTTACATAAATGTATAAATGGAGTCATGACATACATATTGAATTTTTCACTTAAAAATTTTTTTATTCCTTGTATTCCCTCTTCTCTTCCCCTACATTAACAACTTAGTACATTTCTTTAAATATTCTTATAATAGTGTATATCTATACTTACATAAAATAACATGTAATTGTATAAAAACATAATACATATCCATGCAGATATACATGCACTCTAATACTGAGCTTTGGCATTGTCTTGAAAAAGTGAGATATGCATATTTTTCTGCAGCTGTTTTTCTCAATACTTATGGCAGAGTTTCTCAGCAAGATGTGCGTTGGCAGACAAACAATCTTAAGGTTTCTTCCCCTAGTATGCCACATACACATAAAAATATTACCACTTTTTATGTGTAGCATGCCCATAGAGTGAAAAGGAAACCTTGGCCTAATGGAAACCATACATCTAATTCATTATTCTTAACAACTGCAAAAATCAGCATATGTAAAGGATCTCAGGTGATTTTTTTTTTTTTTAGACCAAGTCTTACTCTGTCACCCAGGCTGGAGTGCTGTGGCACAATCTTGGCTCACTACAACCTCCACCTCCCTGGTTTAAGCAATTCTCCTGCCTCAGCCTCCCGAATAGTTGGGATTACAGGCATGCACTACCACACCCGGCTAATGTTTGTATTTTTAGTAGAGACAGGGTTTCACTATGTTGGCCAGGCTGGTCTTGAACTCCTGACCTCAAATGATCCAGGCCGCCTCTGCCTCCCAAAGTGCTGGTATTACAGGCATGAGCCACCATGCATGGCCGACCTCAGATGATTTAGATGGTGGCTGAACACACTTTGGGAACACTAATATGAGGACATGCAGACATATGGTCCATGGGTAAGGGTCTTAATCTGTTTGTGTTGCTATAAAGGAATACGGGAGGCTGGATAATGTATGAAGAAAAGAGGTTTATTTGACTCATGGTTCTGCAGGCTATCAGCTTCAGATGAGGGCCTTATGCTGCTTCCACTCATGGCAGAAGGCAAAGGGGAGCCTTCGTGCAGAGATCACATGGCTAGAGTGCAAGATGGGCATCAGGGGAGAGAAAGGGAGAAGATGATGCTAGGCTTTTTTCAACAACCTGTTCTCAAGGGTGATAATTCACTCTCAGGAGAATAGCACCAAGCCATTTGTGAGGAATTCACTCATATGGCCCAAACACCTCCCATCAGGCCCCAACTCCAGCACTGGGACTCATATTTCAACATGACACTTTGCAGGTCCAAAGCCATACCCAAACCATAGCAGGGAGCTTATTAATTTATTAGCCTCCGTGAAATTTAGAATTATAGAATGTGAGAGCTGAGAAGGAACCTCAGCCTGTCTCATGATTGAAGAAACTGGAGTTTGGACAGGTTAAGTAATTTGTCTCAGACACCAAGGAAGTGAATGGGGAAATGTGGAATAGAACTCAGGTCTCTTGACTCATGTTTTAGACATTAAATGAATAGGTTATTAAATGAATTATTCCATATGAATAATTTCATGTAGAAGGAAGAAATGCTATGTGCAAGGTAGACAGAAAGTACACAAGAAGCCTCATTTGGTGCAGGAGTTCATTTTACGGAAGCTACCTCCTAAATTTAGTAGAACAAAACCAGTCTATGCCCCCTCTCCTGCAAACCAACGGTTTGATCTTGATCATGTCAACTCACCTTTCTAACCAGAGTTTCTACTCTAGTACATCATTCAAGTATTTCTTGAGCAACTAAAACAGTGATGTTGTGGATAAAGCAGTAAACCAGATACAGGTAAGGCCTGCTCCAGAAAACTTCCTACAAGGCCTAGAACATGGCTAAATGATATCTCAGATCCTTTGGACAGTTCTAACATTCTATTAATGTGGGACAGTGGCTCACTCCTCCCTAACCCTATTTCTTTTTCCCTCAGAGTGTGCCTCACACCGTCATCATGCTGCTTCTACTCAGTCTGACACATTTCAATGGTGAACCTATTAAGCAGGGTCTAGAGTCTGAATTCCTTGTTTTCTAAACTGCCTAGCTTATAGCTGGGGAATGCTAGGAAAATGCCAAGTTAGATGTTTACGTTTCTTGCCTCAAAAGGTTCACTGGATTCTGAGTTCGCTGATGGGTTAGAACTGAAATCCCTCATCTCTTGCAGTGGGTCTAGTCTCTAGATTCGCTGCTGTGTCAGCTGATACCCTCAATGCCCCAGCACCAGCCTATCTGGCTCCCTATTCTGCCACTGGCTACATTTTCAGGAGATAACAGAGGAGATGCAGGCATTGTGTGGTAGGCCAAATAATCCCCCCCTCCCCCAAAGATGTCCATGCTATAATCCCTAGAATCTGTAAATATGTTATCTTACATGGCAAAAGAGACTTTGCAGGTGTAATTAAGGTTAAGAACCTTGAGAGGAGGGAATTATCCTGGATTATTCAAGTAGGCCCAGTGTAATCACGAGTCCTTAAAAGTGGAAGAGGAAGGCAGAAGAGTTGCTGACTTTGAAGATTGAGGAAGGGGTTCATGAACTAGGGCGTGTGAGTGGCTTCTAGAAGCTGGAAAGAACCCTCAGCTGACCGCCAACAAGGAAATGGAGATTTCAGTCTTACAGACTCAAGGAACAAAATTCTGCCAATGGTCAATGTACAAGAAAATAGATTTTTCCCTTGAGCCTCCAGAAAGGAACCTAGCCTTGCTGACACTTTGATTTTAGACTGGTGAAATTCATGCTGAACTTATGACCTACAGAGTTGTAAAAAAAAATAAATTTCTTAGTTGTACAGATTATTTTGTTAGAAAAAGAAAAAAAACAAATTTTTGTATTAAGATGCTAAATTGGTAGTAATTTGTTACAGCAGACAAAATCTAATACAGATGCTTCTTGATTTACAATGGAGCTATACCCTGATAATCCCCATCATAAGGTGAAAATGCATTTAATACCCCAATAAACCCATTGTAGAGTTGAAAAATCATATATCAAACCATTGCAAGTCAGGAACCACCTGTCCACCTGGCGTGTGGAAAGTAGAAGAAAGAAAAGGGACACACACTCAGTTTCCTGGTGTGCCAAGAGACTTCCAAGCAGCAGAACCAAGTGAAAAATGCAAAGGGTGTTGATGAAAAGAAAGTGAATGTCATTTGACTTGTCCTGAGTGAAGACCCTCAGTTATCCCCAACTTTTAACTATGTAAATAGCATAGAGACAGTATTCTTTTTAAAAAGGAATATACAAACCAACTGTATTTGGTTTTGGAGTCAAAGTTTACTATTAATGAAGGGAAAAAGCAGATTTTTCCACTCTTCCTCTTCACCAAATTCTGCAATACTCTCAGAATGTGTGTTACTCTGTCCTATAATTGATGTCATCATCATATATCTTCCAATTGGCCATAGTACCTTGAAGGCAGGGTTTGTATGTTTTTCAACATTGTCACTCCAGCATCTGACATGGTGTGGGCACATAATTAGTGCATGAGTGAATAAATGCCACAGCTTCCATTTGAGGCTTAACATCTTTGCTTCCATTACTAAAATACTATTTGAATGACTCTTCCTTCACTGCAAATGCTATCTTCTTAAACGCCTTTATTAAGTACTCCTTTGCCTAAAAACTTTCATGATCTCCTGGTCAGCTATAGGAGAAACACTAAATTCAGTATCGTATCACTCACGGTCCTTCCTCACATGGCCTCATTAGCCTCACATTAGCCAGGTGTGGTGACGCCTGCCTGTAATCCTAGCTACTTGGGAGGCTGAGGCAGGAGAATCACTTGAACCTGGGAGGCAGAGGTTATGGTGAGCCGAGATCGTGCCATTGCACTCCAGCCTGGGCAACAAGAGCAAAAAAGGTATGCTTTCAGCTGTACCTTTCCCCCACTGGCTCTCTACATGCATTTATTTATGTATCTGCCTCCCCTTCTCCTTTTTTTTTTTTTTTTTTCAAATTTTAGGTCCTATAGTGCAACCCACTAGTGGGTCATAAACTCAATTTAGAAGGCTATGACCAGCACATTTTAAAAGAGAACAGAAAATATCCAAGTATGTGGCACACAATAAACAGAAGCTGCACAAAACCTTTGTTTCAGTTGCAAGTGCGTGTCAACTTAAAATTTATGTATTGTGGTCTTGGCTCTAAACTGAGAATTCCTCAAGGACAGATTATGTTTTATTTTATTATGATTGTTGGCTTTCATTATTCCCAGTCCTTATCACAGTGGCTGGTAAAACAATTATAACTTTGTTTATTTGTCGAATGAACCAGACTGAACTAAGGGTATTCTGGAGTTAAAGACTGTCGGGCTATGCCAACAGCACAAAGTCAAGTACTGTGGCTTTCCTCGAGGGATCAAGGCAGTCTGCCTGTCTCTACAGGACTCCCTCAGTTCTCCCACATTATCACAGCATATGCACTTGGGGCCCAACAGCAACTCCACTGCCGCCTCCCAATCAATTCACAAACTGCTATGGAACATCTCTGGGGTAGGGTTCTGACCTTGACACTAGAAGAAACCTGAAATATAGAGGCTTAGTCCTGGAACCAGGATGAGGGTGAGGCCACAGAGGCTTCTAGGGCACCAATTTTAAGGAGACATTCACTCTCAGAGTCGAGCAAGTAGCAACGCTGCATTCAGTCCTTTCCCTATCTTCTAACCAAGTTGGCGAAATCACACAAGCACAAAGAAGCACCAGGGTCTTTGCAGGAAGGCCAGCCTGGGTTCAGATTTCTGATGTGCTGCGTTCTGGGTTGCGCAACTCTTCAGGCAAATTGCTTATCCTCCCTAATCCTCACGTTCCTCTCACCTTCTTCATTACCACACTAATTCAAGCCATCAACCTCTCTCACCTGGATCACTGCCATAGTCTCTTAACTAGCCTCCCTGCCTCCACCCTTGTCCTCCTACAATTTATTCTCCACGCAGTGCCAAACTGATTTTTTCTTTTTTTTTTTTTTTTTGAGATTACAAAACTGATTCTTTTAAAATGTTAGTGAGGCCGGGCGTGGTGGCTCATGCCTGTAATCCCAGCACTTTGGGAGGCCTAGGTGGGCAGATGATCACCAGAGGTCGGGAGTTCGAGACCAGCCTGACCAACATGGAGAAACCCCATCTCTACTAAAAATACAAAATTAGCCAGGTGTGGTGGCACCTTGGGAGGCTGAGGCTGGAGAATCACTTGAACCCAGGAGGCAGAGGTTACGGTGAGCCGAGATTGTGCTGTTGCACTCCAGCCTGGGCAACAAGAGCAAAACTCCGTCCCAAAAAATGAGAGCATGGCCCTCATCCACTCAAAGCCCTCTAATAATTTCCCAGCTGTATCAGGGTAAAAGATTGGGCCTTGCAAGTCCCTATGGATTCCGGCCCCTATTGCCGCTCTAACTTTATTTCCTATTCCTCTCCTTCACATTATCTTGGTGAGGAGGCCAGGGGGCCTGAAACATTTCACATGTCCCCCAGGCATGCTCCCACCACAGAGCTTTTTTCCTTCTGTTTCCTCTGCCTGGGTGCAGTTCCCGCCTCTGACTGAGTGGCTCACACATTCTCTCATCTCCTGCAAGTCTTTGCTCAACTGTTACTTTCTCAGTAAGGCCCTTCCTAACCTCCCTTTAAAAAATATTAGCCCTCTACTCTCTAGCACTTCCTCCTTCACTACTGTATTTTGCTCTAAAATGCCTTGCACCACTTGACATACTCTGCTCCCAACAGAATATAAGCTCCTTGAGGATAAGAATTTTTGTCAGTTTTGATCACAGAGATCTCAATGGCTAAGACATAAGAATAGGAGCTCAAAACTATTGAATGAATGAATCAATCAATCAAATAGGGATAATAATAGCGCCTCCTAGAATTATGAGACTTAGAGGATGCTCAATAAATGGTAACTATTATGATTAAGGGACAATTAAGAACTCAAGACATTAGTTAAAGAATAACTAAAAAAAGGTTAAAAAGTGCAAAAGCAGTTTAAGATGAGCAAAGGCAATAGGCACAGTAGAGGCATTCAGAGGGGAGTGGGATGGTTGTGCCTGGAGTGGGCTGTGGAAGCTTCAGAGAAAAGGAAGGATTTTACTCGGGCCTTGAAGGCCTGATGATACTGCTATCAGCATGAAGCATGGAAAGGACAAAAGAGCACACCCGTTGGGGCAAAAAGCTTGCACACAAGCACATATGTGAGAGAGCACAAAATAGAGGCGCTTTCACCACCTCACATTCACTGTGGGAGAGACGTCAGGAGAAAAGGTAGCAAGAGAAGAGGTGCTCTCCTTTCTCCGCAGGTGCTTTCGTATATTTATCAGTTATCTTCGATGTAATGGGTTGACCACTAGCAAGCGGTAGATGCACACCACCACCCATTATCCAGCTGGCTGCCTTCCAAGCTCACTGCCTAAGCCAAGCCCAGTCCAACCAGCTGTCTACAGTAACCCACCCTTTCCCATGTGATTATATGTTGTTCAAGAGAATGAGTGGTCTGAGTATACCCCAATTACAAAGGAATCATAGTGGCATTCCTTTATGATTCATTGTATTAAAGTATTCTATATCACAGGAACACAATAGACATAACAAAAATAGATATATTTTTTAGTCTCAGTTTACGTATACGTGCACATAATCTCCTCTACCAAGAATGCCCTTCTGTCACTCAATTTCCACATGTCAAAGTCCAGTCAATGCCTCATGGCCAATTTCAAATGATACATGCTATAGAAATTCTTACTAGATATCCATAATCCAAATTTGTCTCTCCTGTCCCTATAGTATACAAAACAATTTGTTACAGAATTCATAGTAGACCCATCTCCTATGAATATAAAGTTATTACTACATGCCAGTGATTATGGTGAGCTCTCCATAAATATTTGTGAATGAATGAATGAATGTATCTGTCTCTATCTCCATTATATGAGCTTCTGAAGGCAGGAAGAAATTTCATTTTTTTGGCATAGCTTCTGTATTCCTCTGTTCTCACATTGCTATAAAGAACTACCTGAGACTGGATACTTTATAAAGAAAAAAGATTTAATTGGTCCATGATTGGGGAGGCCTCAGGAAACTTACAATCATGGTGAAAGGTGAAAGGGAAGCAGGTACATCCTACATGGCTGGAGCAGGAGGCAGAGCGAAAAGGGGGAGATGCTACACACTTTTAAACAACCAGGACTCATTAGAACTCACTCACTATCAAAAGAACAAAAAGGGGGAAGTCAGCCCCCATGATCCAATTACCTCCCACCAGGCCTCCTCCAACACTAGGGATTAAAATCCAACATGAGATTTGGGCAGGCACACAAATTCAAACCATATCAGCATCCTACTCATATTAGGTGCTGAATAAATAATTGCACCTTTGCTTATCAAAGGGATTGCCACTTAAAATCTTTGGTCAGAATAAGCTTAAAGATAAGATTAAGAGCAACTATTTTATTTATTTTTTAGAGACACGGTCTCAGTCTCTTGCCCAGCCTGGAGTGCAGTGGCAAAATCACAGCTCACTGTGGCCTCAAACTCCTGGACTCAAGTAATCCTCCTGCCTCCGCCTCCCAAGTAGCTAGGACTACAGGCACCCACCACCATGCTTGGCTAACTTTTTAAAATAATTTTGTAGAGATAGGGTCTTTTTATGTTGCCCTGGCTGGTCTGGAGCTCTCAGCCTCAAGAAATGCTCCCACCTGGGCCTCTTAAAGCATGGGATTACAGGTATGAGACACTATGCCTGGCCAAGAGAGCAACCATTGTGGTAATCAATACAAACAGAATTGTGCAGTTAT